AAGAACACCAGAGCAAATCATGCATTATCACCAAAGCCATCGCAACTTCTCAAACGCCTTGTAATATAGCCCTTTTAAAAGATATTACTGAAAAGCAAAAAGAACCACTGTACATAAAAATGTATACCTCTACTAGATGTTACTTCGAGCTTTGTGGTGACACGTCTCCAATTTAAGAAAGTGTATTTAAAAATTTAAATAATAATTAATAAAAATTTACTAAAGTAGCTGCTCAATTGGAGTTTTGACCTTGTTTGCTGAAAGTAAAACTCTACAAAGCTCCTTGAGGCCATGAACACCTGATAACGCACTGAGGCAATCGCACATAGAACGCGCTCGATTATTGTTCAGCATCTAAAGATGTACACATAACCTAAAGTACAATGTCAGTAGAACCAAGATCAAAATATTCTGTTGCCCAATAATTGAGCTTTATGAAGTGAACGAGCTTTCTAGGTTAACCTCTGCATAAAAAATATCACATTTTATCCGCTTTGTCCAACTTGCGCGTGGCTCACCAAAAATACACGTGGCACCACATTAAAACTCATTAAACCTCGCCATCGTAAGAGAAACCAAGCGCACTTTCAATTCACTGCATGGTTTTCCTGTAATGAAAATAATCGAACCGCCGACCGATTTCCATTTACCAAAATCCACAAACACAACATTCATACGGTCAAAACAAAACTAGTTGTCCCATTCGGCTGAAAATTGGACGGCAGTAGTCCTATGAGAATGTACTACACTACAAAACGTTTGACAATAGTGGCATCGAGGCTACTTATAGAACTGCATTCACTCTTTTGATCAATACAAGAAACCTTGACTAAAGCGCATATCGAGAATGTACCAGATATATAGTACGATCGCAATCTTTCTCTGACCCGTTGGATTAGAAATAGTGTACCGAAGCATGAAAAGTCTCGAAAAAAAAATTAAATCGAGCTGAGAGTTGTGCTCGAAGGAATCTTCCACATGTGAACAGCCTGGGGAAAGGATCAGTTAGCATTTCGAAGATGAAAATGACGTGAAAATAAGAATTAGTATTGAAGTATTAAACTCAAACCGAAGTAGAAACTTCAGAATTCAATAAAGATACTGCGTTTGAGGTCGTCCCAAAACCCGCTACCACTGCTAATACTAAAAAATATCGAGTTGATTCCAACTTGTCGGAGTGCAGACTATAATCACAAAGCTGCTAGAATGATACTGTTAGGCATTAAGTTAGTCAAAGGCCTTCTTCCCTTCTACAATCTTGAATCCCATAGTTGGAAAAACAATTCGACTAAAAAGTGCTATCGTTTCTTTAGTCAAAGAAGTTTTTATCACCATAACCACAAGACCCTGCCTAAGGCAGATAAGATCTTCTGAGCCATAAAACTGCAAATCAAATTAGTCAAGTGACTTCTCGCTAAAGAGGTAAGAGTTTTTGTTTTTTTTGCCACGAAGAGCTTGCAAAGAAGACTCATCTGGCTATAAGACCAAAAAAACTTCCCAATCAACTAAATTGTACCAATCCCATTTGCGGAACTTCTTCTGCTCAAAAAGTGATTCTAACGGACAATTTGAAATAATTCATGGATCCTTATACAAGAATAGCAAGCTTTGAAGATATCAGAAGTGATCCCCATAGAAAACCGTTACTTATAGTTACTTATAAAAATAGTAAGCTTTGGGTATACCATAAGTGAACACCATGGACCACTGCCAAGTTATGGATCCTTACACAAAAAAAGCAAGCTTTGGCGATCACCATGGATCACTGCTAAGCTATGGACTCTTATAGGACTTTGAGGATAACAAAAGTGAACACCATAGAAAACCGTTATTTATGGTTATTTAGGTTTTTAAGTTAAGTTTTTATAAAGATACAAAATTTGGGTGGCTGAGGAAGTTTGTCTGGAATGAATGTAAGGTTAGGTGCAACCATTTCCGTATTTCTTAACTTCGGTAAAGAAAACGAGAAGCACTCGAAATGCATTTGAGGAAATAATTTGTAAAATCTATTGAGGATATGACTTGATATTGGTTTTTCTTAAAAATATAATATATACTTTCGCTTTCTGCTCTTCCTGTAAACTCCACACGCAACGTGACACGTGGGCAACTAATTAAAAATATTAAAAATTTAATGTAACTAGCCTGTTACAACAAAGAAAGCGTAAAAATATCCTTACAACAACAACAAAAAAGGACACAAAAACCAATTACGCTGCCTGCGTGGATGACATTACTTGACACATGCGACAATACTTTAGGCGAACGACCGAATATGGCATGAACACATGTAAGCTCACACTTGGCTCCAAAACGCGAAACGGTTTTTTGAGTGCAATATTCGCAAAAATAAACCAAACTCACGAACACCAATTACACTCAAACTTTTTTGGCAATATATATGTATGTATGTATGCGCGTGTATTTTATTTGGTTGCTTTGCTTTTGTTGATTTTTTGCCTTTTACAAGCAGCTGCTCAGCGCGCTCAACAATGTAGTATGTTAGTATGCGCCTGTGTATGTGTGGCATATTTGTTTGAGCTCCATTGAGCGAGCGCAGCCAGCGTGTTTTTGGTTGCAGTTTGTTGGAATTTCAGTCACACATATGCGCCTATACAAAACTTTGCTAAATAAAGTGAAAATGAAATATTTTCGACACCAATACACACGCATATAACAGTTGGTTTGAGTGCTTACGCATACCAATTCAAAAGCATACTTGAGCTTTAGGCTGCTTGTTGTTGCTGCTGTTGTTGGCATATTTTCGGCAATCGCCTGGCCAAGTGACAGCCAAGCGCCGACCGTCCAGTCAGTGTCTGAAAACGTTCCTAACCGTAAGCAACGGAGTAGACGACGAGCCGGAGTGCGCAAGTCAGTACAAATACAAGACATAAAGACCGAAAAAAAGCAAAGTCAAAACCGTAATCAAGACCTAGACCAAGAACACGACGCAGACGAAGAGCAAATTAGACCGACCTATTAATCGACCGACGGACAGACTGTCAAATGACCGCTAAAGACACCGCTGGCAGCTCATCTAGCTGAGACGAGTAAAAAAGTGCAAAAAACTTTTTGTGCTTTTTTTTTGCTATTTTTACTTTAGTTACTTAAATATACTAAACACACTTTCCACCGCCGACACGATTGTTTGCTTTTTTTAACGAACGCCAACGACAAGAACGACGACTATGTGCCGCGCGTCTCGCTATTTTTAATTCGTTTGTTGTTAACAAATAAATACACACACACACTCATATGTTCCTATAAAAAATTAACAAAAAAGAAAAGACTGAAAAAATTGTTGGAAAATTAATAAATAATTTAGCAAAAAAATGCAAATAAAGTAATGAATTGCGGAAAGACGCCAAGCTATTGCTAGAAAGACAAGTGTAAAGTGTTTGGAAAATTGGAAATATTTTAAGCGCATTTTCGTGCAACTAAGACACTGTAAACTATATGTATTGCGATAAATAAACAATTTCGAGCAGCAAAGAGTGCAAATAAACAATTTGTTTTATATGAATTTTTATTGCATTTATTTTATGTGCAAAAAAAACAAAAAATATTTTAAAAATATAACAAATTTAGAAAATGTTAACATTTAATATGGCGTTTGAAAATTATAAGTAATGAGAGAGATAAAATAAATAAATAAAAATATTTCAATAAAAAATATAAATTAAAAATTGAGAAAAAAAAGAAAAGAATATAATTAAAAATAAAAATAAAAAACTAAATAATATTTTTTTTAAATTATAAATAAATACCTATATAAAAATATTTATTACAAAAAATTTATATAAAAAAAAATTAAATTTAAGCATAATAAATTTTATATTTAAAATAATATTCATATGACAAAATAAGAGAAAAATAAAAACAAAAAAATAGCAAGAAAATAAACAAAACTTGCAACCAAATTAAACTAAAGACATAATATTTATGTTTAAAATTAAAATGTCATTATATATGATATGAAATTAAAATTGTAAAGATGTCAAATTTAATTATGAAAAAAGCTACAAGTATATTTCGCCTTAACTACTTAAATCATATTGAAATGATTGCTAATAAAACGAATAACATTAAACCAAAAAAAAATTTAAACGCCTACAAATTGGTCTAAATTGCATAAATAATTTACTGCATTAAAAAATAAAATAAATAAAAAATCTCTAAAAAAAACTTTAATTTAACTTAAACATGAAATTTAAAAATTTAATAACTAAAAATATAAACAAACAGTTTTGAAATTTTAATAACTAAAACTATAAACGCAAGAAAATTATACAATAATAATTATATTAAAAAATAAAAGATATATAAAAAAAACAGAAAATAATTAAAAGTAAATTAAAAAAAACTTTTTTGTAAGTCTAAAATTGTAATTAGTTAATATTATTTAGAAGTAATCAAATTACTTTATAAAAAAAAATTAAAAATTAAAAAAATAAATAAAAAATAAACTAAAATAAACTTTTTTTTGTAATTCCAAAATTATAATAATTAAGCTGGATTTTTAAACTACAAAAAAATATTAAAACTATATTATAATTATAGCTTAAATATAGAAATTTTAGTACTTTAACTTTATTGAAATATAATTGGCAAATAAAATTTTATTTAAATTAAAATATTTATAAAAATATTGAGGTAATTTAGTTGAATCTAAATTCATAAAATAAAAATAAACATATTAGTTTAAATGAAAATAATTTGGCAACACTAAATTTAATTTGATAACTTTATTTAATTTAATACTATTAATTTTGACAAGAAAAAAGAGAATAAAAGTATAATTAATAAAAAAAAATATCATAATTTATTATTAAAAAATACTAAAAGTTTGAATATAAAAAATTTTATTATTAAATTTGATCTGGCAACACTGAAAACTTATTAAATAATCAGAAAATTATTTAAAATCATCATGTACATAATTAAAAGTTATGGATGACTAACCTAAAATTTAACACTAAAATGAAATAATAAATAAAATTTAATCAAAAAACCCCTATCGTAATAACGTAAAAATTGCACGCGTTTAAACAAGCCAGTTCATTTTATCAAGCAAAAGACACGTACAAACACAAAGACATAAAAAAAATGAACGAAAAGACCAACTCAGTCGGCTGACATCATTTGAAAAAATTAGCAACCTAACAAGTTGAACCAAAAAAGCAAAAACAAAAGCAATAAAAATCAAAAACACAAAAAAATTAAAAACGTTGCTTTTTTATATAAATTTATACATTTTTCACTTTGTTTTGTCACAGCCGCATTTTTATCATCATTTTTCCCTTGAAATTTTTTTTTTGGTCTTTGGACAAAGTCAAATTCAAGTCAACGTAAATGTCAAATGTTCCAAAACGACGCAAAAATTCCAATAAAAAAATTTTCATAATTTCTCAATTTCGCTAAATTTGGAAAACAAAAAAAAAAAAAAATTCTACAACAAAAAAGAAACTGCTGTGACATCTTTTGTGCGGAAAAATTATAACAAATCGTAGCAAGAAATTTGTGCAAATTTTTCGGACCATTTTTATGCTCAAAACGAATATTGTGTGAGAAAACATACACAAATACAAACGCAACAAAGCAAAAAAAAGAAATTGTTTTACAAAAGTACCAAAAGTGTCAAGTGCCCAAAAGTTCGCAAGAAATTGAAATTTTTTTTCTGATTCGACGGAAAGTTACCAACTGCAGTGCAAAAACAACGCAAGCAACAGCAGCAACAACAACTGCGCCACGCATAGCTAAAGGTAAATGCAAAGCTAAAATCGAAACAACAACAACAACCGCTAGGCGCGATTGTCAAGCAACAAAAGCGTATGACAAGCGACAAACGCCCGAGATCTGAGAGCAATCAAAAGCAGTAGTCGACGCCGCGGCAGCAACAACAAGTAGCAAACAGCAGCAGCAGCAAACCTGTGCGTGTGTGTATACAACTGCCAAAAATTTGTTTGGCATTACTGTGGTGCGTGTATGAATTTAAGTTTGTTTGTATGTGTGCTTGATTGCGTGCGCGCGTGTGTTTGTGTTTAGCAGCGACATTTTCCAACACCGCATCGCCCAAAAATTTCGCTTTTATTAACTTTTTGCACTAATTTTCACTACCCTCCCAAAGTTTGGCATTCGCTGCTATGCTTAGCGCCCTCCTAATCCACTCTCCGCGCCAACCATATCACTTCCGTCGCACACAACCGCTATAGCCTGCTGATTGGCATTAGTTCATCAGCCTGTCTGTCCGCCCAACCGCTCCTTTGGCCAGCCATTAATTTGTTAAATTGCGGTACTCTAACAACTCTCCAGCGCTCATGAGCTCTCAGGCGCGCTCACTCGTTCTCTTGCTTGCCATTTTTTTAAATTTTTTCTTTTTCTTTTCGCTTTCATGCGCTTTTATAAATGTAGAGGTGCACTTTTTGGGAAACGTACTCCGTGTGTTTGCTCCTGCTACGTACATATATGTATTATATTAGATATTTTGTTGTTGTGTAAGTGTAATAGTTAAGTCTTTCCCATGCGCATAACGTAGACCCTCCCAAGCATCTGTTCAAGTTGCCGATCTTGCCGTTATCAGTTCTACTGCATTATTTCTCATATACTTTATTGGAGATTTAGAGTCTTGGTTTTTGAGAATAATAGTTTATTTTAATATTTCGAATCTCAAATCCTGCTCTTATGGCCCAATCAAGATTACTGAACGCAATCGGAGTTCGGTATACAAAATCAGATCATAAAAATAACAATTTTGCCGCTAAACGTAGCGTATTCTTTAATCATTTTCTTGATTTCTTGAGCTCATTAGTGCAAAAGGTATGATGATCCATTGTACCAAGATTTTACAACAATTATCGCAAAGTACTTCCACAAGCATGATAATTTGTGTTTTGCTACTTTGGGAAACATCTTCTTGAATCTCAATGAGATGTCGGTTGAAATCGTAAATAGTTCGTAAGGTTTTTCATATTGACAAAACATTTTATAATTCTTAAACGATATTCCAATACCGTTAACATCGACTAAGCGAAATACTTTATTTATCGGCTGGATAAAGCAACTGCTGGAACTTTTAAATCGAGATTTACATAAGCCGCGCATACACAGCTGCCTTTATGGAGTGCACAGTATTTTAGGAACGTTCTAGGTATTCCTTGAAAAGGCACTTGAGAAAAAACAAATCACAAAAATGTAGTTATTAGCTTCCGTGCCAAGTATCCACACTAGAAATGCATTAGACTAGTTTTTATCACTTCACCAGTCACAACTTCATAATTTTATAAACCACGAACGTCACATAAAAATCAATTCATAATAAAAAAAAGTTTTTTAAATGCTCATCGATTATGCTAATGACCACATAAAATACGCACGCATCCTAACCACATATTCTAACCTCAATCAATTGTTTGGTGAATATTACGTTGTATGTACCTATGTAGTCAAGGCAAATTATCGATTGTTTATGTTTATGGCGCAGGACAATGATTTGCTGTCGAATGCAGGTCCTGGTTGGGGCATAATGTTGTATTACACTTAAACTGTGAAAATATTTACATATATATATATAAATACATGTACATATGATGTCATTTGTGCGTGGAAAAGCGCTGTTGCTTTACAATTGAAGAGAAAGTTATTTTATAGATGGAAAAAATTAAAATAAAAGAATGACCAAAAAAAAAACATTTCTACAACCTGTATGTCTTTCGCAGTTTGCACGAATTTCATTCGCTATGCAATTTAACTTTTTGCATACTAATATCTTGTCATATATTTGTTTTGTTATATTTTCTGAATTCTTTTTCGCTCCTAATTTGCATTTTTCGATTGCATTAATTCATTCATTTTTAAATTCCAATCGTTTGCTTTGATCTTTACGCTTGTTGCAAAGTAACCGTTAGGTTAACTGATATATATAAAGTAGTTTTTTTCTAGCTTTTTGAAGGCTTTCAAGCACAATTTTTTGAGGTTAGTTAAGAAAATTAAAGCAATGTGTGGATATTTTCCGCATGAACTCGCTTAAAGACACTGAAAAAACAATAATAGCAAGAAACGGATAACGCTACTGCAGATTTTAAGTTAAATTCAATTTATCCGAAAGTACATAAATGAAGATTATGTACAAAAAATGCGTTAAATGTAGGTTATATGCTTTACGTCAGCTCCGGATAACGCAAATACTACGTTAAAGTATACCAAGAGGCATCAATAAATCCAATAAAATAATTTGAAAGACTTTATGAAGCTGTGGATAAAGTTTTACATGGCCGGATAACCGTTATTGAAGGCGTACTTTCAAAAATCATCACGCCATTAATGTTAACTATTAAATAAAAATAAGCATGCAGGGAAATTTGTACTGAATTAAATACATAAATAAAATTAACTTTTATAAAACAATTTAGTTGCAGTTACGCTTTTAAAACTACGGATAACGCCATTATGGCGTTAGCATGTATTCAAAATCCATGCTAATGATGTTGTCATCTTGAAAGGTACCTAAAAACATAGATATGAAATTATCCGCGAGTGGATCGTATGCAAATTTTGGTTAAACTATGAAAATGTTTTTTATATTCATATATATAAATATGGAATACTCTACAAATCAAAAAAAGTTTCAGAAGAAGTTTTTATTTGCAATTGATAAAGACGGATAATTGTTTTTGTTAGTTGTGACTGTTTTTATGAGGTTTCAAGCGCTATTTTGTTGCGGCATATAATACATAATACTAGGCATCAACAGTTTAATAAGCTTAACAACTTTTTACCGCACATGGATAACGTGAATAACAATAAATATTGTATAGCAAGCTTCCGGATAAGTTTTAAAAAGTTTTTTTTATATAAATTTATAAATTTTTATTTTGAAAAATCGTTCTATATAAATTTTAGAAGGTTTTTTGATATCGGATAAAAGTTTATAGCTTGATCGCGCCCTCGAATCGCGTTTTCACTTGTTTCTGTGCACGGCTTTTGTGCTATAATGCATCGGATAAACCTTAACATTGCATTTAAAGAGTAATTTCCCATTTGCATTTTCTCAACACACCTACTCTTACATACACACATACACTCCATTGATAATTAGGGTGAGCGAATTCCGAAGATTTTACAAATTTAATTATTATCTTTGTTTAGCTGTCAACCTGTTTTGATCGATAATTAATTAGCGCGACAAAGCAAGAAAATAAAAAGAAACACACACAATAAACGTGATTTAGCAAACTGCCATTGTCAACGCGCCGAATGAGCGAGCGCTGCCAGACTTCATGGCTATCAACGTATGAACACAAGCACACCGTTAACTCCGCCACAACAAGCTACACATACTTGTCTGTCGTTACTGACGCGCTTCTTCACAAAACTGCTCTACACGCTTTTGTGGCTTTAGAAAAAAGAATACTAAAAAAATATTTAAAATAAATTTATATTTGAAAATTGTTTAACTATGTATGTACATATGTAGCTAGCTACAAGCTTTTTATACATTTTTATTAAATATTTGTGTTAATTTTTTCTTTTCTTTTTTTCGTTGTAGGTTTTTGGCAAATTATTGACATTTAACATTGAATTTGAACAAAACAATTGGATACAAAACAAAAAAAAAAAAAGAAAATACAAAAGCAAAATTTGAAAGCAAGCAGTTCTAAATTATAACAATAAAAAATATTTGAAAATTTTATATTTTGCATTTAAATACTAAAACCGATTTTAGTATTTGGTTGTTTTTTTTTTTTTTGTTTTCGAAAAGAAAAGCTTAAAAGTCTACAAGAAAACATTCCAAAAATTTCCGCTAACGCACAAAAATAAATTACAGTTTTTAAATTTTATAAATTCAAAAGTAAATAAGCAACGCAAAAGCATACAAAATGGCTTCTGAATTGGACCAGTTCGCTGACTTGGAATTGTCAAAGGAAGATCGCGAACAGATTTTTGATCCACCTTTGGATCGACAACCGTTGGAAGGTGCTGGCACCTCAAGGTATTTAAAACACATGCAAAAAACTTAAAATATAAAACAATTTCATACATTTTACTAACAATCGAAACATAAAAATGAAAAGTAGTTGCCACTAACCAAAACTAATTTTCTGCTAATTATTTTAATTACTTTTATTTTATACGAAAAGGCTTATAACTTATATGCGCTTGTAGAATTCTGCATTAAATCACGCAAAAATAGCTTACATGAATATAGCGGCTAACTACTGCTGCTATTAGAAATTACAAAATGCCCTCAAGGTAAAAAACAATTATTCTTTGCAGAAATTTATGAATTAAAAATTTTCAAATTTGCATACAAGTGTTTGCAAGCTTAAAAAAATACTTATAGTTATTAAATTATTTTTTTGAAAATGCTATACTGCATGTGCTGTACACTCTCAAACCCTTTCTAACGCATTCAGGCGGCGGAAACGGATGTGACGAACAAAGCAAACATTTTTTCTATTCGTTAAAAGGATTGCTGATGTATATAATGGGAATGTAGCATAAAAATTGGCACTCCAAAAACAAAATCAATTGAAACAAATAACTGCTCTTCAGCAAATGAAAGACAGGCCAAAGTCTATTAAATACCGGCTAATTTTTGCCACAAATAAATTAGGCATATCAAAATACACAATGACATGCCCACACATATATGCCTACATACGCACATAATGGGCGATCCTTTCGTGTGGGGAGAAAAACAGATGGGGGAAAACTAATAAAAAATGCACCCCTCTTCGTCGAAAACCAGCATAGACACAGATGTACGAGAATTCAATACGCCAAATACTCAGAAAGTACAGTTGCAATACTAAAAAAAAAGCCATATTTTTTGCTTTTATTGAAAAACAAAAACAATGCGTTTGAAAAGTATAGATAAGTTGTGTGGCATGAAAACTGACACAACACCGCTAAGCAATATGTAAATAGTGCGCAAATGTTCGCATTCCAATTTTATATGTGAACGGATAACTCATTTTAAGCATCCGCAGGCACAACTGTTACTATTTTTTTTCTTTTTTTGCTTCTTTACAGACATCTACAGCTATTTTAAGCAAATTTTTGCAATTTCGTAAGGTTTTATCACAACGGTTAAGCTACTTTTCAGTGAAATTGTATACAAAGCAACTGAAGTAAAGCAATTATCTGTTTTAACGTTTATGCGCATGCATTCAATATGATATGTGAGCGGATAAGGCATTTCATGCTTTCTCAGATCTTTTACTATTTTAAGTAAATTTTGGCAGTCGAAAATAACTACTTTAATGGTTATTCGCATGCTCGGATACGTTTTAACTAATAGCCAAGCTACATATATTATATATGTAAAACGTATAAAATGGCACTTTTTAAATTATTTAAATTTACTGAGTCGGATAACAGATTTTTAAACTTTGAATGTGCATCTTATCGTTATTGGAAACAATTGTGCCTTTTATTAACAAATAATGTATCAAAATTTAAATAGCGCCATTTTTAAAATTTACATTTTGTTAAATTTCTTTTATATCCTTGCGATATGCTGAATTGTCATGTGGATAACAGTTTTGCACGATATAACATATTTGCGTGGTTCTGAGAACATTTACACTTTAATTTAACGCTCTAAGTAAGCTTTATTTAAATGTGTTTTTTGGGCAGTTGTTACTAATTAATTTAGTACTAAAATCAATGATTTGCTTGCTTTATCGACGTTTTTGACTGCTCGGATAATGATTTTTCCAGCTAGTTAATGTTTTTTGAGACTTCTTAACTTAAGGAATGCTATATCAAGTTATCC